GACCATTTGGTCAGGCTTGCAGGAGCATTTGATCTGGGTTTCCGGGGCTAGCAGAAGGGAGGGATTTTACACTACAAAGGTCTGGGCTAGCTTGCCAGACTAGTTTGCAAATGGCTCGGGGCTCCTGCAATGTGTTAACAAATTACCCCAGGTTTCCACAACTTCAGCAGCATCCGCTTTAGTACAGAAACAAAAGAGGCAAAGGTTAGACTTTACCTTTGTAAGACAGGCTAATCTAATTTTATTCTTACACTAAGATTTCTTTTTTAAGTTGGCAATTATTGAGGCCATTCCCACCTGACTCTATCCTCGCCTCCCCACCTTTCTTCTTTTCTTTTTCTTTTTTTTTTTTTGTTTGGAGGGGGTTTTGCTATAGGCATGTGCACTCGCCAGAAAGACAGAGAGAGACAGAGAGATAGAAAGCGAGAAATCACCCCCCAGGGGGGAAGGCCACGCTGCAATCCCTTCTCCTCCATTCTCCTCTCGGGATCTTGGGCATGCACACACACGCACCCAGCGTGAGTATAAGCCACCGGGTCCGGGACTCGAACTGCAGTCGACTACATGGGAGTCCAGGGACATAGCCATTACGCTAACTGCTGGTCCCCCCACCTTTTTTTCTTATTCTCCCCAACCTATGCCAAAGAAACAGACCAATGTCACAAAACTCTGCAGGCAGGAAAACTCCATATTAACTCTTTGGTAAGTTCATTTCCTTCTCAAGTTACAGGACAGCAAAATGTGTGCTAAAAAATCTCCTGAAGAACTGAAGAGCATTTTTGAAAAATACGCAGCCAAAGAAGGTGATCCGGACCAGTTGTCAAAGGATGAGCTGAAGCTATTGATTCAGAACGAATTCCCCAGTTTACTCAAAGTGAGTGCACACCTGCAAAGTCAGCTAGGCAGGGCCTTTGATGGTGGGAGAGGGGAGGGTGGGAGAGCAGACCCCAGGCACCCGCTGATACTAATCAGAGCTCAGCAGGTGCACAGTGCTAGAGGGAAGGCATATGAATATGGGCTTTGGTCCCCTAGGCCACATTTCAGGGGCTAGCTCCCAGACAGCAAGGGCCCAGCTTGACCTCCCACAGTGCCAGCACAGACCTCTCCAGCACTGGCCTCCGTAAATGAAGCGACGTAAATGATGCGACGTTAAGCCTTAGGCCAAACTGCACCTAGAACACCCGCAAGTTGCCGAGCAAACCCACTAAAGCCTTCAGCCTGGACTCAGCATCTCTGGGCCCGGCTTTAGAAAAATAAAAAGGACTGCAAAATAAGGTTAGCTGGCCTTGGATGGGCTGCTTTTTTGTCTGTGGATCCCTCCATAAGACGAACACCTGCTTGGCAGTCTGTTAAGAAAGCCCTCTCAGGGCTGACAAATTGCCCTGCTGGTATCCATTTATATTTCAAAAGCATTTACATTTGTGTTAATTTGTTAAGCATTTAAATTTGTGTTAATGAGGCAACCATGCATTTCTAAACAACTTTCAGGAAGGACTAAATTCTCTGGCTATAGTTTCACATCAAAACCTTTCCAGTGTTGTCAAAATGAAAAACACAACTATGAGGGGCAACTGGGAGTAGGGA